GCGGGGGGACGCTCGGGTGGGGGATGGATGTTAAGGGGCCAAGCGCCCCCAAGATGAGGGATGGCTTGGTGGTTGGTCGGCGCCAGCTAGGTGATCAAGCCAGTTGCCAATTGGACCGGCAACGAGCCGGTTTCTTCGTGTGGGCCAGGCGTCGCCGGAGCACCCGTTTTTGGGACGTCGATCCTGGCAGGCGTCAGTGCGGCTTCATAGAGGACGAGATTAGGTCACCGACACGGTCTGCCAATGCTGGGCCACCGCGAGGTATACCTGATATGTTGCATGTTGCGATTTAATATAAAGGGAGAGATAAACGAAATAGTATCATCCACAGATGTGCAAAAAATGACAATACGTTCCATCATAAAAAAAAAATCCAGCAACGGGGAACGGGTAGTAGTGCTTCTAAGAAAAAGAATTGGCAGTTACAGAGTCAAGACGTATATGGTCCCAATAGCTCTTGGGCCTAACAAGCCCGACCTTCAAGCGCTATCGGCAAAGAAAGCCATGCAGGATACACCCCCTGGGCGCACAGCTCATTTCCTACTGCAATTGTGAACCGCAAGCCCATCAGCAAGCACTTGGGTTCCGTGCGGCGGCCGTCCACGTCGATAAAGTCATTCCGGCTCGCCGTCGCCTTTCCCGTGCTGACAAATGGTGATCCGTGTTAGCGCTCACGCCATCAGCCCTGACTGCACACGGAAAGGAAAACTCACCCCGTCCTCCATCTTGACATGCATAACGAACGTCCATACAAAATACCCGACCAGCAAACACATCAGGACGACGAACGGGCGTGTCGGGCGCCAGGGTGCCACTTCATGAACCGTTTTGTTACTTTCGACGTCGCGCAAGTACGAGGGGAGATCCGTACCGGGTTTTGCGCCAGCGGGCATCATCAACGGCGTCTCCTCCGATGTAGGGATGGCGGAGGAGGCGGGCGTCGACATGGACGACGACGAAGGGGGCTGGAGCTCCAGTGAGACCGGCATGATGATTAACGAGCGCGTTTGACAAATTCTTCCACAACAAGCCTCCTCCTCCTAAGCTGTGGTGCCCACAACCACCTTGAAAGCGTAAAGCCATTCCTCGTATCTATTGAAGAACTCGTTCGTTTTCGGGGAGGTCCGCCGTGAAAGGGCTTATCTGAAATTATTTCGTAGTTTAGTGGGTAGAACACCCCGTTCATGTTTGGGAGACCCAGGTCCGACTCCTGGCAAGATATGCAATAGGCGCCCTTTCACAAATTTCGACTTCCCCACTTTTGCTGTTGCGTTCCGCGATCTTGTCTTTACCGGAATAAACGATAAACGACACCTCCACATGGTCACTTGCAAATCTCGTCGCGGTTCGCGTACACTTGCATAACGATAAATATAGTTTAGAATGGCGAGCAGGTCTTCAGGTAAAACGCGCTTGGAGGCGATGTCAACCTGGGTGCGGTGTCCCAGAGTCGAGTAAGGCAGGGATGAGGAATAAAGGAATTGTCGAATCGAGGTCGTGATAAGCCGACATGCACTCATTTGAGGGTCGGCGGCTGCAGCCAGTTTGACCAGCGCGACCACCGCGAACGCGACCCGCATAAAAGGTCGTGAACCATCTCAAAATCAAACCACTCGATTCGCCACACTCGCACACTCAGCACGATGCTCCACCGCGCGCTCGCCCGCACCCCCTTCCTCGTCCGCCCCGCCCTCAGGTGCGGAGGCTTTCGCGTCGCGCAATGGCGCCCGATGGCCACGGAGGTCGCCCCCGGCTCGAGCCTGAACCCGAAGGAGCTGAAGGAGGACGACATCATCAACCGTGAGTGCAAGATCTGGGGTTTTTCGCGCTCAAGATGGCGACTGACGTGTGATGCTGCATGGTTTTAGGTGTTCTTCGCGACCACCGTGCCTTACAATCGTATGAAGATCAATATAAGGAGTGCATGAGCGAGGATGTAAGTTCGATCAGCGCTTTGTTCGCGATCTCGAAGCTGATGGTGATGGCGTTCAGGACCCGGACACGGCCGGTTTGTGGTTCAACCAATTCCTCTGGAAGCTGAGCAGGCACAGGTGAGATCTTTACCTTGTCCGCAATTCCGTCGCTAACCGAGTACTTTCCTCTACAGCGTCGGCGAGGAGCTCGTCCTCTACCCGCTCCTCGAGTCTATCGATGCCAAAGGCGCCGAGATGGCTAACTCGTCCCGCAAGGCCCACCAGGACCTCAAGGAGCTCCTCGTCGAGGTTCAGGGCATCACGGACCCGCACACCTTGAACCACAAGATGAACTCGGTCATGACCCAACTCATGGAGCACATGAAGCAGGAGGAGGACGAGGAGGTACTGCAGATATAACCTTTTAGCACATGAAGTGAGGATCGCTGATGTTTGGTATTTACATTTACAGCTCGTGTACCTGCGCGACCACGTCTCCGAGGCCAAGAGGACCGAGGCCGGCTGGAAGTACAAGATGAGCAAGACGGTCGGCCCGACCAGGCCACACCCGGCCGTTCCCGCCGGCACGCCGCCGGCCCTCAAGTTGGCGATCGAGGGCATGATGACGCCCATCGACAAGCTCAGGGACATGTTCACGGCGTTCCCGAACTCGCAGGAGGCCGCCAAGATTGAGGAGAAGCACAAGGTGTAAGATAGAAGGGGTGCCTGTATATTAGCGTTGTATAGTATGGGCTAGAGAGTGTATATTTTGGAACGTTTTTCGCGTCGGTGCTCGTAACAGCATCATGTCGTCTGCTTCGCTCTTGTCCACGGGATGAATAAAATTATCTCTCCAGATCACTTCCCTTGATCACGAAATGTACGCTTGCTTCTTTCCTTTATCGGCGCATAGACCCCGGTGTTTTTGTGGGCACTTTTAGATACAACAAATTCTGTTCAGCAACTAAGCTGCTCATCATGTCGTCTGTAGCGCGTCTGCACCTGAAGATCAGCATTAGCAACGTCATCCCCTCATGCAGAGCCCGCCCCATTTGAAAGAGATTCCGTAACACAGCAGATCCACATCGATCGCCCCGCCCGTCGACGAGGCCGTCGTCGCCCCAGCATGATGGACTCCGTGGAGCTCATGGCCGAGGTCTTGGACCGCCTGCTCCCGCTCCTGAACGCCGTCGTCCACTCCCCGCACCTCCCGCTCGGCGACGCGCTGGCCTCCGCGCTCGAGTTTCCCACGTTCCTCTACACCCTCTCGCACGATCGCCCCGACGACTGGGATGCGTCCATCGACGCCGACCTGCAGGAACTGGCCAACCTACTCTGGCGGCTGTTGCCACCCGAACGGAAGGGCCCGGACGCCGTGGCACCTGTGGAAGCCGACGACATCCGAGCCCGGGTCGCGATGCAGGCCGTGGCTGTCTGCGGCGCGATCCAGGCCCGCGACCGCCGTCTCCAGGGCCCGAGGCTGACCCGCGCCGCGCTGGGCCAGACGTTGAACCGATCCCGGCTGCCGATGGATGTTCTGCGCGGGGTGATGAGCTTCATGGACTGGGACACACTGCGTCGGACGACGGGCATCTGCGCGGCGTGGAACGACATGGCGAGGGCCGAGCGATGGAGCAGGCGTTGGCGCGGCGGGGTCGTGGTCAGCTCGTGGGAGAGGCTGTACGTCGACTATAGGCTTTCGGTCGTGAACCCGTTCACGAGGGTGAGCGTCATCGTCGCCACCTCCGCGCCGGACGTCCACGTGAAGGGGTTCATCAGCTTGTGCGCGCCGGCGCTCAGGGAGCTGATGGTATCGTACAAGTGGGAGCCGATGGACCTGCATGAGGTGCTGGGGGCGTGTGTGAACGTGAGGGCGCTGTGGATCAAACCGGGGGCGTGTCGGAGCGCGAAGGTGGAGGTGGGTGCGGACGTGGTGTTCGAGAACCGGCAGCTGCGGAGCCTGGAGCTGCATGAGGTGCGGTCGCCGTGCTGGGCCCGGTACCTGCACCGCGCGATGCAGCACTGGGAGGTGGACTCGTTGACGATCATGGACTGGTGGGATCGCTTACCACTTGGGTGGAACTCGGCTCCCAAGATCGACCCGTACTGCCTCAAGTTTGTCGGCGCGAGCAGCGATGTTATCGCGGCCTTCCTACGATCTAAGCCGGACGTGTCCTCGTTCGAGCTCGAGCTCGAGGACGTGTTCGAGTGCGACGCGTCCGTGGCGGAGGCGCTCGAGAGGGTCGAGCTGTACAACCTCAAGATCAAAGCCGAAAAGAAGCTATCGGACGAGTTTTACGAGGCGTTGAGGGGCGTGGGCGAGAAGAAGTTCGGCCTTCTCGAGCTGTCAATACCGACCACCGCGGGCCTGTTCGACCACCTGTTCAAGCAGCCGTTCTTCTGCGACCTCACCGTCCTCAACGTCGTCGGCGACAACATCAAGGATGACATTGTAGCTGCCCGGAAGCATCTCAAGTCCATCAACGAACTGACCGTGCATGGGTGCGAGAAGGTTGAGGAGCTCGACCTCGAGCTGTGCTTCGAGCGCATGAAGTCGTTGTCTAAGTTCCACGGCATCTACAAGCGTCCGGCGCCGGAGACGAAGGGTTGGAGGGAGGAGATGATGGCCAGACATCCCCATATCGAGTTTACTTTTGAGGACATTTGCACGTAGTTAGTATTTTATGTTTGTAGTGGCCATCGCGCCCTAAGCTTTGACTTTTTATTATTGCTTCCCTGCTCGTAGATATTTACGGCCTGTCGCCTTTCACGTGCACCCTGCAGCTATACCTGATACTTTGTTGATTTTTTGGACGGTTTTCTTAGCCGATTCTATGGCCGTGCGCCAATCGTGTGTTCTTTTCGTACTTCTTTGGCTTTTTGGGAGATTTTCATCCGTCATAGTGATTTCTTCCCGCACAATATGTGCGTCTATCGTCGACCTCTCCTCTCCTCTGTATGTGTTCTTTCCGTCTTTTATACCTAGCGCCGCTGTGCTTCGTTGACATCTATGTCCAGCCGTCTTTCGTGTAGCTTCGTGCACTTGCCAGTATTCCCTTTTACATTCGCAGTTACGGCCTGCCGCCGATGACGTTTATTTTCGTGACCTCCATTCTTCCCTCAGAATCTCCTCGCTCATTATCAAGTGTATTCGTAGAGATGCTTCTTTGCACAACTCGAGTAGTTGTAACTTTCGCCGCCATTTTGTACTCCATGGCCACTTAGGTTTTTTACTTACCTTTTCCTCCGTACCGCGCATTCTTTCGATGCTTAAGCAGGTCTTAAGCTTTCCATAAATTGAATACCTTACGCCTTACCTAATTTGCATTCCTTCTTACGTCTCAGACCTGCTAAACTGTTCCTCCACATCATTTGACTTCCAACGATGATCCACCGCGCTCTGCATCGTCGACTCGCCGCCGCCGTGGCCGTCACCGCCCGACCCGCGCTCTCCGTCCCGCTTCGTCCATCCCAAGCCTGGTCCCTCGCCCCGCGTCGGTGGAATCAGACGGCCTCTCCTGGATCGGCAAAGGAGGAGGACTACCCTGCAACGCCTTCGGGGACCGCCATCGCGCCCGAGTCCAACCTCCACCTCTCGGAGCTCAGCCATGAGGACATCATCACCCGTATAATACGGGACCACCGGGAGCTGCAGGTACGCGTCGTCTTACCGGGTTTCTGCCGATGTATGCGATCTAATTTGTCTTGAAAGACGTATCACGACCAGTATAAGCAGTGTCGCGCCGAAGGCAGCAGCGAGGCTGATATGTGGTTTAATCAGTACCTCTGGAAGCTGAGCAGGCACTCGTGAGCAACCGGTACTTCACGAGGATTTTTTTACTCAAACGCGTTTCGCAGCGTCGGCGAGGAGATCGTCTTCTACCCACTCCTCGAATCCATCGACCCCCTGGGTCGCACGATGGCCGACACGTGCCGCCGTGACCACCGCGACCTCAAGGAGCTCCTCTCAGCCCTCCAGCGCATCCGCGACCCTGCCTTGTTCGAGCGCCGCTTAGACTTCATCATGAACCGCCTGATGGACCACATGAAGGAGGAGGAGGCCCACGAGCTTCCCTACCTGCACTCGCACATGAACGCGGAGGGGAGGGAGAGCGCCGGGTATCGGTTCGCGTTCACGAAGGATGTCGGGCCGACGAGACCGCACCCGGAGGTGCCGGAGAGGATTGTGGCGCTCGAGGCGGCGATGGCCATCATGTTGGCGCCGCTGGATAAGTTTAGGGATTTGTTTAGGCCTTTCCCGGATACGTCAAAGGTGGAGACGAAGGACCTTTGAGGGTATGCGGAAGTG